CAAGACCACTTTCAATTCAAAGAACATGGGTAACAGATACATGACAACACTGTCACCTGCAAATACCACTCCAAGCCATTTGCCATCCAGGCTTGGAAATATATCACTTTTCCTACAACGTTGTTGAGTCAAAATCCTGGAACTCCCTTCCTTTGGATCAGTTTGGATCTAGCAATGGTACATGGACAGCAGCAGTTCAAGGCAGCTTATCAAGGGCACCTAGGGATTGGCAACAAACGCTGGTCCAGTCAGCTACGTCCACGTTGAATGAGTGAATTAAAAAGAACTTAAAACTTTCACTAGAGTTAGGTGAGATATTGTAAGATATTCTTGTGACAAAGCCGTTAGAATAAGGCTTCATTGTCACAAACAGATGTTACGCATAGTCTGAATTTCTGAAGAAGGGTCTAGACCCGAAACGTCAGTCTTCCTGCTCCTCTGATGCTGTTTGGCCTGCTGTGTTCGTCCAGCTCTGCACCTTGTTGTCTCAGATTCTCCAGCATCTGGAGTTCCTGCAATCAACATGGTTTTGTGAAGGAGATATCATGTTTAATAAATCCGATGACTTCTTTGAGAAACTAACATGTGCTGAGGAATTAGGGGAACTCATGGATGTATTGTGTTTAAATTTCTAGAAGGCCTTCGATAAAGTGCCACCAAAGGTTATAGCAGAAAATGAAAGCTCATAACGTAGGCTAACAGGAAACATAAATGGGTCTTTTTCGGGTTGGCAGGATTAAGCAGAGGTGTGCCACAGGGATCGGTGCTGGGACGTCAACTGTTAACAAGTTGTAGATGAATGAGTTGAATGAAGAGAGTTGGGAATGGTTGCCAAATTTGTTGATGACAAAGATAATTAGGAAAACAAGTTGTGAAGAGGAACAAAGATGCCACCAAAAGATATAAACAAGTTAGGCCAATGGACAAAGAGCTAGGAAATGGAGTATATTGTGACACAATGTAATTGTCTGATTAGGCAGGAAAGAAAAAAAGAAAGCCTCTTATTGAAATGATGAAAGATTGCAGAGCGATAAGGGTATCCTAGTCCCAAAGGAACAAGATATAATTAGAAAAGCTAGCACAATATCATCATCATTACTGCAAGGGGGACTGAACTTCTATTACACAAGTCTCTGGTGAGATCACATCTGGCGTATTGTATACTGTAGCAGCCCCCCTTATGGTAGGATGTAACTCAATTGCAACTTAGAGAAAGGTTGGATGTGAAGAAGATGTTTCCACTTATGGGGGAATTTAGAATTAGGGGTCACTTTTCAAAAATAAGGGATTGTCTATTAAAACATTTACGAGACAACACGGAGTCTTTGGAATTCTCTTCATTAAAAAAAATGGCGAAAGCAGAATCCACAAGTATTTTTAAGGCGGAGGTGCATACACACTTGTTAAGCAACAGGATGAAAAACTTTCAGGAGTAAATGGGAATGTGGATCAGATCAGCCATTAAAAAACAGCAAAAGCTTGAAGGGCAGAATAGCCTACTCACGCTCCTTTGCTGTATATTTGCATTAAGCATATTATTGTCAATCAGGAATTGCATTTAGGTGACGAGCAGCGAATTTTCAGACAGCAGGGCAAACAACTTCAGCTCCCAGGTAGGAACACCTAGCATTCTTTTACTGAAGCAAGTTGCACTATTTCAGAGAGGTCACACTGTCATTAGCATATTCATTCTGTACCACACGGTTTCGAAGAAAGAAATTGTGCAACAAGTAAATGTAATACCGGACATAAAGAAAGTGATGGATAGATATAAAAATATCATTTTTTTTAATTTCAAAATTTGTACAATCATTGTGAATTGGATTCTTCATGAGTAAAACAAACATTCATGAATAATAAATTTTACAGACTTTACAGCTAATAATTTTCTACTTTTGCTTATGTTGGAACTTCCGTTTGAATCAGCACTGTTATTACCAACTTTTTATATGCTTTCTCCATTCTGGTTTTTAACCACTATTGCACAAGCCACGTCTTGCCAAATAAAAAAGGTGTTATTTTGCAAAGTCTCAAATTTAGCACTGATGGATAATTTATATTCAAAATTGATCTGATTAGCCATTGATTTGCATTGGATGAGTTGTCATTGATTACAGTCTCTCAGTATGAAATCTGTGTCATTTTGCCTATTTGAAAGAAAGAAACTGAAAATAATTCAACAAACACATATGATAACTTTACTGCGTAACTGCAGCTAATGAGGGAATCATTAACAATCAAAAAGAAGCACCTGAAAATCCAAAGTAACCCTTGAGAAAATCTTAAAAACATCCCTTGAAAAAAAAGATGTACGATTTCTTTTCTTTTCCCTTGTATGCCGTAAGGTGAGAACTTCTTCTATGGGTTCAACAATTCAAATTGGTAAAACCTGTACAATATAGATCATCTTTCAACTAAGTCAACAGAGCGTGCTGAAGCACCAGTATGCTAGAAAATTGCTTTATACCAACAGATTCATATACATCAAGCTCCAAAAGTTCACTTGTGTTAATTACAGGCAATAAAAGTCAATTTTAGCAAATTTAATATAGTTTAAGAGAACCTTGTAATGGTTATTCTTTCATTGAAATTTATTCAAATACTTGAGTTATAAAGTGCTTTCTTGCACACACACTTTCTGTGCTGTATTCAATTCACAACAGCCTAAAACATTCTCATCTTTGTCACAGACTGGGGGAAAATTAAACCACAATTACGTTTAACCTCTTAAGCCCAGTGCAGTGAGGCATGGTTTGATTTACTCCTCTCCCTTTTAACTTCCATCCCTTACTGAAGTAAGCCAAAGGGTGTTCCCCAAACCCTGGTTTTTCAAATTCCAATTTTTGCAGAATCCTGGACATGAAGGAACTGTTTTACTAGTCCACACACTCATAGGAAATTAAGGAAGAAAGAATAGGAAACGTAAGAGTTTACAAATTACAGATTTGTTAAATCAAAAAGTATTAAAAATCAGTGGATATGAGTTACAACTTAACAGAAGCAAGCAAAGTGTAGGCTTATTTCCAGTCAGCAACTTGGAGGCAGACGGAGATTTTCAAGGTAAGGTGATAATTCAGCCTGGAGTACTGCTCATCCTTTACAGGTTGAACAACTTAGAATCCCAGAACTGTACATTTTTAAGCAAAAAAGATCAGCTCCAATTTCAGTCATGTGGCAAAGTTAGCTGCAAATGGTTCATCTCAGTAGGCAGATTTGGAATGCGTTAAACTAACAGTATAGATTTACCACCCCTTTTAGAGGTCGACTGTGAGGTGACTGGGCAACTGTAAAAGCATTAGGAATTTTATCATAGTAGATCTCGTCCTTTTTGTTTCCAGAGTTAGCTGAATCTTTTGTGTCACCTATAGATGAAATTTCTTTACATTTAACAAGTTACAGACTGGGCATGATTAGTTAGTTAGCAAGTGAACAAAAGCTGAAAACACACTTCCTCACCCCAAGTCAATAAAAAACAATGAAGTACACCTCCAGCAACAATATACAAGACCATTACCTGCAGCCTGCAATTCCAAATTTACATCTGAATTCAGCTGGCCAACATAGGACAATGTTCCTCCATTAGCGTCTGTCGTCACACATACTATTCTGAAATTAATAAAAATTGCAGTCAATACAAACTTCAGAATGAAACTGAAAACTAAAGTCATACTAATTACTTTGATTTCAAAACAAAGACAAAATATTTTAGTCAACTATCCTCGGGCACTACTTTTTTATAACAAAGTTGGACATTCGTAGCTGACATAAAACAAAGCAGAAAAAATGTTGGCTTTATTGATTAAATAGAAAATGATTTACATAAATTGATGACTGATCAAAAACAAGTTTTTTTTTAGTTTGCACGTTTATGTTGAAATTACTCAGATCTAAGTGACATGGAGAATTATTTTTCCGGACACGCTGAACAAAGATCTCTTTTTCTTTGTTGCCATAGAACAGTGTTATCGTTTATGCAACAGGATCCTGGTCAATAGTGAGGAATATATAAGAATTAACTTCATTGGAGCTTTATGAAAGCAATTCTTTAGGAATACAGAAAAGAACTGATTAATACAGGAAGTCAGAGATAAGACCTGTAAAATTATTTCACTATAAAACCTGAGTTAAGCAGAAATGGAAAAAGTTTTTGATCAATATTTGTAAAAATATTTACAAAGTCTAAGTTTTGTCTGAGTAGCTAAAACCACTGACCACAATGCAGTTCTAATTTATTGCAGCACTAAGATCACGCAAATACTGAAATAAACAGCTATCCAAAAATGAAACAGTTAGGTTGAGATAAAAGCAGTTATAACCAACCAAAACAAAAAAGGAAATGATAAACTTAGATAGCCTCATAATGTTGTTCTTCCATATCTCTGCAGTAGAACCTTGGAAGCAGCCTTTTATGTGCAAACTCTGTTTACGGCATCAACTTTTAAAAAAATTTTATACAGATTTAAATAAGCTGCTCAATGTTCAATTTGGCCTCTTCCCAGGCCACTTGGTTTCAAACCATGGACAAGAAAGTTGAATTCCAGGAATATGGCGAAAGCAGTTCTTCCTGACATCAAGGTGATAGGAAGGCATGTGTGACACAAAAGAAATTTGCAAATTTAATTCAATAGAAACCAGGGCAAAAGTGTCTTGTCAAATATCTTTAGATGTTGAAGGCTCATTACTACAGCTCTAAGACATTATACACAGGAGTTCTTTTGGGAAATATCCAGAGTTATGGTTAGGGGTAGGGGTGCTTCATTAATAACCTTCCTGCCACCAAAAGATCAGAATTCTGCATCTTTCCTGATGATTCCATAGCGGTCAGTTCCATTCAGAACTCCTCAGACACTGAAACCGAAAGAACTGCGGATGCTGTAAGTCAGGAACAAAAACAAAGTTGCTGGAGAAACTCAGCAGGTCTGTAAAAGGAAAAACAGTTAACATTTTGGGTCCGGTGACCCTTCCTCAGGACTCAGTTCTGAGGAAGGGTCACCGGACCCGAAACAATACTCTGTTTTTCCCTTCAGAGATGCTGCCAGGCCTGCTGAGCTTCTCCAGCAACTTTGTTTTTGTTCCTCAGATATTGAAACAGTCCACATTCACATGCAGCAAAACTTGGACAACATTTGGTCTTGACTGATAAGTAGCAAATAACACAAGTGATAGGCAATCTCCCATAAGAGAGAATTCAATCATCTCCCTTTGACGTTCCACATGATTACCATTGCTGAATCCCAACCATTAAAATCCCTGGGGCTACGAAATCAGAAAACAAACTGGATCTGCCACACAATGGCACCACATTGGCTATAACAGCAGGTCAGAGGACAAGGGTTGTGCAAATAACTCATTTCCCGACTCCCAAAGCCCCCTCCACCTCTGAGTTAAGAACGTGATAGAATACTTTTCACTTGCCTGGATATTGTTAGACTGCACTCATGACATGATAACAAGATGGAACTGGGACCTAATAATGTAATGACGTTGACAGGTTCCCTTCTATTCCTCTCTCTAATGAAATTTTGCTTTTTGGGTACGTTTATACATCAGAACCGCCCCTTGTTAGTTTGGCTGCAGAATTAGGCAAAGTATAAACCTCTGATGCATGTAAATATATTTAGTAAAAAAAAATGTTTCATCCACAAAATATATAAAAGAGACATGTTTTTAGATTCAGACATTTGAGTGCAGTTTAAATTTCAGATGGTCACTTGTTTTACTCAAAAATAGCAGAATTTTTATTGTGTGGAGGAGACAGTGATATGCCTAAACTGGAGACAGGCAAAGAACAGTTATTTTAATGAGAATAAATTGCTAACTTGAATTTAAAACATCACCTATGATTTAAAATAAAGAAAATCATGAAGGAGATGCGGTAACCACCGAATTCAGAAGACTTGTGAAATTCAAAACTCAGTTCTTCCCCCCAAAAGGCAGGAGAGAAACCATGCAGTTCCAGTCATACCAAAAAATCCACATTCAAAAGCAGATGCAATTTAGAGCAGCCAACCACTGCTCATTTAAAAGAAAATCTAAACAAATGTGATAGTTTGATTTATCCACTGTTTACAGTTAGTATTATCATCCACATAAACAAAGTTATTCTCCACATAAACAACCAGAACAAGTGATACATTATTCCAGAAAATGTTCCCCAATGATTTTGACGTTAATGCATCCTGAAGAAAATGTACTAGATATTGCGGTATCAGCAAGGAATACTTCAGTTATTTTACCAAGGCCATAACAAAAAATTCCTGACATACTGGTACTCTCAAAAGATCTTAATTGAAAGAATTACCAGAGAAAAAAGTGAAAAGGCTTCTGAGTGGATGCTTCTACATACTATAAAAAATATTTTCACATCTCATGTTATATTTAACAAATATTGACAAGAAAATCAGCAAAAATCATCCTTTTAAAAAAAGCCTTTTGTTCCAACTTAAATGTATCTGATGGCAATAAGACAGGGCAAGTAACGGAGGTGATAGTTGGGGAACACTTTGGGTCTAGTGACCTTAATTCTATTTGTTTTGAAACAGTTACGGAAAAGAATAAACCTTCCATAAAAATTAAAGTTTTCAACTGGAGTAAGGCAAATTTTAATGGGATGAGACAAAAACTTTCAAATATTGATTGGAGTACTCTATTCGCAGTTAAAGGGACATCTGATTAGTGGTAGGCTTTCAAGTGTGATAATGAAAGTTCAAAGTCATTTTGTTCCTGTTAAAAGACAAGGCTGGTAGGATCAGAGAACAATAGACAAATGTAGATATTGAGGGTCTAGTCAAGAATAAAAAGAAATCATATATTAAATATAAACGACTGGGTTCAAATGAATCTCTTGAACAGTATAAAGAGTGTAGGGGCATTCTTAAGAGGGAGATCAGGAAGGCAAAGAGAGGATGAGATAGCCTTAGCAAATAAGGTTAAGGATAATCCAAAGAGATTCTATAAGTACATTAAGAGCAAGAGAGCAACTAAAGAGACAGTAAGGACCCTTAAAAGATCAAAGAGGTCATCTTTGTGTTGAACCTCAGGAGATAGGAGAGATAACAAATGAATACTTCATACTAGTTTTTAATTATGGAGAAAGAAATGGAGGCTAGAGAACTCAGGAAAATAAATATTAATGTTTTGAAAATAGTTCATATTTCAGAAGAGGAAGGGCTGGAAGTCTTAGAAGTTTTAAAGGTGGATAAATTCCGGAACCTGATCTAATGTATCCCAGGACTTTGTGGGAAGTTATGGAGGAAATTGCAGGGCTCCTTGCAGAAATATTTGTATATCTAAAAGTACAGCTGAGGTGCCAAATAACTGGAGCATGGCTAATGCTGTGCCTTTGTTTAAGGAGGGATGTAACGAGAAGCATGGGAATTATACACCTGTGGGTTTGACTTCAGTGGTAGTAAGCTGTTGCAAGTGACTCTAAAAGATAGGATTTATATGCATTTGGAAAGGCTGGAATGACTAGGGATAGTCGGCATAGTTTTGTGCGAGGGAAAAATCATGTCTCACAAACATGGTTACTTCCTCAAAAAATTTAATTGAAATGATTGAGAGCGAAGTGGTGGACATTGTTCACTTAGACTTTAGTAAAACCTTTGACAAGGTTCCACACAGTAGATTAATAAGTCAAGTTAGATCACATGGAATTCAGGATAAGCTTGCCAATTGGATGCAAAATTGGCTTAACAGCAGGAGACAATGATGATGAAGGGTTGTTTATCAGACTAAAGGCCTGTTACCAGCGGTGTTCCACAGGAATAGGTGCTCAGGCCACTTTTGTTTGTCATTTACATAAATGATTTAGAGGAGAATACAGAAAGCATAGTAAGTAAGTTTGAAGATGACACCAAGATGGGTAGTATAGCGGTCAGTGAAGGCGGTTATCTAAGATTACAAAGAGATCTTCATCAATTGGGTCAATGGACTGAAGAGTAGCAGATGGAATTTAATTTCGATAAATGTGAGGTATTGCATTTTGGTGAAAACAAACAAGGAATAGACTTGTACAACTAAATGTAGGGCCTTAGGTAGTGTTGTAGAACAGACAGACCTAGGGTTTCAGGTACATAAATCTTTGAAGTTTGCATCACATAAATAGATTGGGTGGTTAAGAAGTCATTTAGCATCAAAAACAGAAGTTGCTGGAAAAGCTCAGCAGGTCTGGCAGGATCTCTGAAGAAAAAGTCAGTGTTAACGTTTCGGGTCCAGTGACCCTTCCTCAGCACTGATGGTCGCTAGGAAAATGTTGGCTTATATGCAGAAAAATAGAGAGGGAGATAGGGTAGGCAGTAAATGATAGGATAGAGACCAAAGAAAGAGAAGAGCAGTTGGATAAACAAAGAAATTGATAACAATCTGGCCAGAAGGGTGAATAGTTGTTAATGGGGACTGTTAGTGACGAACAATGGGTAGTGTATAATGGCAGGCTATGTGGTAACAAGTCTGGGTTGTGGGGTAGGAGGCTAGGACATGGGAGAGTTTAGGCCCAAAAACTTATTGAACTCGATATCGAGTCTGGAAGGTTGCAGGGTCCCCAAGCGGAAAATGAGACATTGTTCTTCCAGCTTGCGTTGAGCTTTGCTGGAACACTGCAACAA